GGACATACTGATGTCAGCTGGGCGGGGAGGGAGCTTGGATGGCGTCTCCGGAGTTTGTTTTTTGTGTGAATTTCAGGGGAAATACTTACCGTGATGCTCCATGACGTCATCTGTGGAAGGATGCGGGTCAGATGGGAGGTGTCTGGGGACCTGGGTTCGTGGAGCAGCCAGCTTCTCAAGTTTAGCAGGGTTAAGAATGGCTGTGTGATGGATCTGTAAGTGGTAGTCACCCTGGGAAGGCTGAGAGAGCCAAGGTGCAGGGGGTAGAAATCTATCAGGGAGACCGGACCATCCTTGCCCTGTAACATACTCTGTAGGCTCGTCTGTTTGTTGTCAATATGATTTTTCTTGCCTACCAAGTTTGCTGCTTCTTAAAAAAAATACCTCTGGGCAATGCATCTAGGTGGGTTTTGGGTAACATTTCGAGGTGTAAAAATCATCTTCCAATGAGAATGCGGGTGTTTCTTGCCTTGATTCACTGGGGACCCAGCACCGACCCCTTATCTTGGCGGTCAATGAAGCGGCCTGCTGCCTTCCTTCTGCCCCGCCCCCAGCCCGGGCTCGCCTCCACCGCCTCCATCTCCGCGCCTCAGCAGGGGAGGAGGAGAAGGGAGGTAGCTGGTTGCTCCTCTCCATCCAAACAGCAACGGAATTCCTTGGCCTGGCTGTTCAGTAATCCTCTGCCAGCTGGCGGCCTCCCTCTCCTCGGGAACTCGGTGAATCACACCTCCGCAGCGCGTTTGGCCCTTGCAAGCCCCTTGAGGGCTGGAGGCGTGCGCCTGCCCCCTGGGAGGAGCCGCGGTCCAGCTGCTGAGCGCGCATCCCGTCCGCCGGGAACCTCCGAGCCCGGGAGGCTTCGCAGCGGCGGGGGAGGAGCTCTGATCGGGAGGCGGGGCTGCTCCGAGGGGCAAGCGCTCCCTTTCGCATCTCGCTGGGGGGTCCTTGCAGGAGCTGGGGGGCTTGAAGGCAGGCCCAGCACGGCGGGAGCACGCTGCGGGGTCCTCTTCCCGCCTCTCCACCACCGTTTCGTAAGCCCTCTGGCTGGTGGTCAGGGAATTAGCAGAACACTGGGGAGTGATGTCCTGGGTCAAAAATCCTGCCAAACGCATATCTGGGCGGGCGGGGGAGGGATCTATTTCGGCGGTTCAGGCTCGGACAACCAGGAAGGAGGTGACTGCTGTGATGTTCCCTTGCCCACTGGCATCAGAAGCCCTGAGGCCGATTCTAAAGCTTTTTCAGCAGCGGGGGCAGGCTAGGTTTTTAGCAGCTTTCTAATGGGAGTGACTAGGGACATGTCCTCGGTTAGAGCTTGAGCCAGACGCGCAGGGAGACAGAAGCAGCGCGGGGAGAGGGCAGAGCCGACCTCCCCCGCTGCCCGACGCAGCTCGCCGGCTCCCCAGGGCCACCGCTCCGCTGGTCGTCTTTCCAGGCCCCTGGCGCTTCGCACTTCGCCCCGGCCTGGGAAGGAATGCTCAGGGAAGGGAAATGAGGTGTGGGCTGAGCCCGGCAGCGCTGTGACAGGTGGGAAACGCGCCTGTTAACTTTATTAAAACGATCCCGTAATATTAAAAAAAAAAAACTCTCTGCACGATTAACAGGAGATTCCACGTAAAGTTTCTTGCGTACTCGGTGAAGCGCCAGTGATGGAGAGCCCTGTGGGTCCTGGTCCTCCCCGGCGCCCCCGACTGCCTTGGGTTTGCTCCTTCTCTGCAGGGCTAGGCTGGAGCCCACCTTCCCGGAGGACAGGGAGCAAATGGGGAGGGCCCTGGCTTGCCAGCCCCCCGCCCCGCCCTGCTTCCCTAAGGCACAGCAGCTCCCTGCCCTGGGTGAGCCCAAGGGCACTGCCTCCAGTCCCCCTCCCTGGCGCACACCACCCACCGTCACTGCCAGAAGGTATTTTTAAAAGGTATTTTCCCTGAAAAGGTCAAAGTCATCTCCCACCTGAGTCTTGCCCCCATTAAATCCAGTCTGGACCCTGTAGGGATGTGACAGGGAGTATGTACCTGTGAGCCTCACTCAGCATCACGCTGGTCCCTCCCATCTTCTGTTCCCTTCCTTGCTCTCCATTCGTTCTAAAGGCCCAGTTCAAGTTTACCGGCCTTCCTGACACATGCCAGACCCGTCTGTCTTCACAGGTCCAAGTCCTCGCCTCTGTCTAAACCTGCCCTCATCCCCCCACCCCCACCCCCCATTTCCCAGGGCCGGTATCCTTCTCGGAATCCAGGTAGCTCCGGTGACACTTGCTCCCTTCACTGTGACATCAGAGACCTCCTCTCTTCTGCCTCTTTCCTATTGGATGATGAACATGCGGTCCAGCCTCTTTCATTAAAGAAGAAAGGAAGGGAGGAAGGAGGGAAGGAGGATGGGAGAGAAGGAGGGAAAAAAGAAGGAAAAGAGGGAAGGAAAATGGAAGACAGGAAGGGGAACAACCACAAGAAAAATCAAACCTTCCGCCGCCCCTATCTCTTTCCTTGCTCTTGGAAATGGTGTATTTCTTGCTCTCCGAGGTGCACGTTTTCCCCACCTTGGCTAACATCGCTGAAATGGTAACGTGTCCCTTAGAGCAAAGCATGCATGCATCATGTCATAGCTTAATTGCAGTGCCTTTTCCTTCTCAGTGCGGACAAGGAGGAGCACGTGTCTTACTACTGATGGCATCTGGGATGATGACATGGGGCGTGCAGCTTGACAGAGGCCACCGAGTTCCCCTTTGCACTGTGTCATTTGATCCTCAATTGTTTTCAGCCCATTTCTGTTCCCACCATCCTATCGAGAAATGTTTCCCGGGGCGTCCTGAAT